GTGAAAATTCGGGTAAAACCCGGTGTAGGGACGGAAAAAATTAAGGGCAAAGACGGAAAAATGGTTAAGGTGAGCGTCATAGTGGAAAGAATAATGGACTCATGGACCAAGTGAAGGAGAAGATTGTTTGTGCTTTGACCGATCAAGTTAGACACTTTGAAAATACAATAACAAACCGAGTTGAGTCTGCTTATGTTACACTGAAGAATTAGTTGGAAAACAGTAAGTGTGATTTATGTAGAGATTGAGACTTTGTGAACCAAATGATCTAAAATCAGTATAATGAGAGATAAGCATTATTTGGTCGTAGCATCACAATGTTGGAATAAAGATTCAAAGAAAACAATCTTTATTCTAAGTTGGTCGGTAGATTTAAGGGCTATACATGGAATACTTTTCGCGTTGAGAAATAAAAATTTCGATCGAGGTCAATTTGACGATTTCGAGATTGTTCAAAGATACTATGAAGATGTTGAAACGTCCAACTGTATACTAAAATGCAGTGTTTGATTTATGTTAACATCACCTATGTAATGTTGATTTTATGTTATTAATGTTAATTTTATTTATCAAAGTGTCAAACTGCAACTTTCTGATTTTCTGGATGTTTTCTGCTTCAATAGGCTACATAAATATATCTCTATAATGTTTATGGAGATGCATTTCAAAATCAAAATAGACACAAACTTAGAGTGTGACTCAAATCAACATTGATTGTATGTGCTTGGAGGGTAAGGATTAGGTACCTTTACCGCGCCAACTGCATGGTACCTTTGTCTCTTTCTCTCACCTACAACTCTCTCTCTCATCTTATTTTTTATATTATTTTATTTTATTTTTAAAAAAAATAAAGAATTGCCTAAAATTACCCAAAGCCACACAGGGCAAAGGTATTGAATCCGATCTATCTTTAGAATTTAGAGGTATTATTGTATTTTTACGAGATTTGCTAGTAATTCATAGGGTGCACTAAAAATTCACTTTAGGTTTGGGCACCCTCGCATTTGATAAAATGTAAGAAAGAAAATAATTATTTTTTATTATTTATATTGATATAATAATATTTTATATTTCTCATTTATATTTCTTATATATATATATATATATATATATATATATATATATATATATATATATATATATATATATATATATATATATATATATATATATATATATATATATATATATATATATATATATATATATATATATATATATATATATATATATATATATATATATATATATATATATATATATATATATATATATATATATATATATATATATATATATATATATATATATATATATATATATATATATATATATATATATATATATATATATATATATATATATATATATATATATATATATATATATATATATATATATATATATATATATATATATATATATATATATATATATATATATATATATATATATATATATATATATATATATATATATATATATATATATATATATATATATATATATATATATATATATATATATATATATATATATATATATATATATATATATATATATATATATATATATATATATATATATATATATATATATATATATATATATATATATATATATATATATATATATATATATATATATATATATATATATATATATATATATATATATATATATATATATATATATATATATATATATATATATATATATATATATATATATATATATATATATATATATATATATATATATATATATATATATATATATATATATATATATATATATATATAAAAGAGTGAGAATCAACTTACTCAAATCATAATCTTTGAATTGAATCTAATCTAATAGTTAACCTAATCTTTTATTTAATTAATTATTAAATTAGATTCAATTCAAAGTTATAATTTAAAGTAAGTTAAAAAAAAACTTCCTCTTTGAAAGTCTTACTTAATAAATAAGACCCCAAAATTAAAATTTAAATTATTAAAAAGTTAAAATAATAAAAAAAGAAAACCACAAAAATTAATTTAAACCAAATATATAATTTTATAAAAAACATTTTAAGAGAAAATAAGTAGCTTAACAAAACATTTAATAAAAGTGATATGAATTCCAATAAAAAATTTGGCGCTTGTGAAATTCTTTAGAAAAACATTAATGTTGCTCTAATTTATTCATTCACAAGTAATATTTTACATATACATAACATTATATATATACTTTAAATCACTTCATTTTAAAAAATAAAAAAGATTAATTATTCATGTACAATAACCAAAACCATTTCTAATACCCTTTCCCTCTTCAATGTATGGCTTGTGTCATTTTCTTCCTCTTCGAAAGAAAATCGGAAATTTTCATATTTCTCTACGTTACAGCTGACATGAAATCGTAATCACAAACAAAAAAAAAGGAAAGAATTCCCATTGCTATGTCTGACTAGTCTGTCTAAACCAAAAAAAGGAAAGAATTCCCATTGCTATGTCCCCTATTATATGTAATATACAAATTTATGCAGAGTATGTGGATCATCCCACCGCACTTGGTCTTTCAACTAACTCTGACCATTGCAAATCCTTCATTCAACCATGGTTATTATCTGTTGAAGTTAATCATAATTTTTGATGTGTTAAACTCAACCGGCTACAGAAACAGAAGAATAGCTGAAAGTAGAATTATAGAAACAGAAGATCACTTTTGGTCCTTCTTTTTGAAGACCTGACCTTGCCAATCTGGGTGCATCTGGGTTCTTTTCGTTCTTGATGGTCCTACCAACATTGAACACTTTATGATCTTCAGTCAAATTATGTAACCTTAATTCACTGGGATTAGCTGATTCTGAAGCATAGGTGCCTTTTGAGGTCTTGTCTTTTCCTTTTACTAGTTCTTGTGCAGGACTACCTAATTTAGTCCGTTTTTCGGGCGGTGCATCACCCTGCATTCAAAATGCACAGCTCAGCACAGAAGGCAATGCATCAAGTTAAAACATCACAGTTTGCAAGCAAAGTACCTCATTGGAGGGACTGTCATTTGCTCCCACACTAGGAGACTCAACCCATTTCCCATCATTCCAAGTGAGGGATGCACGGAGATACCAAGCTTCAACAACTGATGTTTCTCCGCTTGCTGCAGAAAACCAAATAGATTGTGTATCTCCAAGAAGCCAGTTATACAAATTGATAAGCACAACTTAAAATTAATGGCTAGTTAAATAACTTCACTCTAGATTAATGACTTGAAAACAAATCTGTCTATTACTAGTATCTTAAAACAAAGAAAAATTATACAAATAAAATAGATAAACATCACTCTAGATTAATGACTTGAAAATAACATGGCAAAGATTAGAGCTATTCTTGACTTTTGGCTACGTGAACACAATTGACATTCTAACTTCTCAAATTAATTAAATTATTAAATATCTCAATAATTTAAGAGAAATTCCTCATTTTGGTTCAAAGATATATGTGAAGCTGTGTCATATTAGCCAAAAACAAAACAAAAAAAGCTTGACAATGTCATAATTGAATACTTCACAGTTCAGTACAGACACATTCAAGTTTCTATAACAAACACTACCTTTTAAAAGGGTGAGCAAAGCAGATAGAATAGTAATGATTTGGAGAGGCAGTGAATTTCTTCCATTTAATTTTGACACTGACATACAGCAAGTGGGGAAGCAAAGTAAATATGGTCACTAATGAAAGACCATAGCAGACAGAGATGATTGCAAAGTTGAACACAACAAGCCTATATTAGTAACTTAGGACAAAGAAAAATACACATAAAATAGATAAACGTCAATTAGTTATCACTTTATATTAATGATTTGAAAATAACATGACAATGATTTCCAATTCTTGACTTTTATCTACATAATCACAATTGATATTCTAACTTCTCAAATTAATTAAATGGGGTATACATCACAGAAACCGTTGACTTATTAAATATCTCGATAATTTCAGACTAAATCCTCATTTTGGTTTGCTTAATATGTGCAAAGTGATGTCACTATAGTCCCCAGAGGCATTCGACGATAATGACCAAACTAACAAACAAAAGACACATTCGAGGTTCAACCTTACCAGACGATTTTTGACTTAAGTACATTCAACTACGACTACGACGAAGCCGTTGACATATTCAAATACCAAAATGTCTGTTTACTCAATAATTTGATCATAACTTGTCATCATTTACTAGCATAGCATGTAATTTTGTATTTGTTTCTAAAACGATTTGTGACTTCTGAACAAGAGATGACCAACCTTTCTCAAATGATTTGCAGTTTCATTATACACACTCAAACCAACAAATTACATATTGTGTTTTAAAAATAAATAAATAAAGAAACAGGTTTTATGACTGAACTTGTAACAATCACATATAAAGCACCTCATAGTGGCCACTGGCCCGCCAACATCAAGTCTCCTTATTGAAGATCTGTACTCAGAAGAAAAATCATATGAATTCAACCAGTACAGCAATAAACCAGTAATGACAAATGTCCTTCAAACTAATTCATCTCTAAACAAAGATGAAAATTGTCCTGCATATCACTGTTTATGCTGATAATACATTCATCTTTACCACGTAAAGATAAGACCATCCGTAGGAAACGAGTACTAAGTTTGTCGATGCCCTTCAATAACATTAGAGCCTAGAATTAATGATTGTCACCTACAATGTTTCACTACATTTAGTCTTCAGCTGAGTATGTAAAACATGTTGTGATTTTCATGTGCCCAAATGCCACAAAATAACTCATTTCCCATCCTAACATAGCCACTATTTAACAACAATGCACGCAGGTACAAGTACAATCTTTATTCAGTATATGTCTTTTCATGTATAAAAGAGACCATACAAAGCAATACAAAATTGACTTACAATGAGGTATTCGATTGAATGTTCTCAAGAACACTGAAGTTTGAATTGAAACACAACAAACTTCCAACTCCATGAGTTATAAAGTTTCGTCACACTCACATAATCTCTCCAACATCCATCTCAGAATTGTCCTCGAGTAAAGGATCCTTGTACTCCAAGGTATCCTTTTGCTCGAGCTCCACATCCAAATCCTCCACTTCAGAATCACTCTGGAGCAAACGCAAACCATCACCACCTTCCTCATCACTCTCAGTGTCCGTCTCAAACTTCTTCTTTCTCCCTCTATAACCAACAAGACTAAGAAGTTTCTCCCTCCACAGAATCAAAGGAGATTTCTCAATAAGCTCCGAACCGTCATAAGCTTCAGTTAGAAACACACTAAACCTCTTCCCTCTCTCAGAAACATAAAAGATACCACAATGCTTAAGCAAAAGCCTCATCAACTTCTGAGGCATAACTAACTCCCAACGAAAGTGAGTGAGGTGATCTGTCACCAACCTCTTATCAACTGTAAAACTAAGCAATTCATGCATCACAGCAACAGCCCTTTTATCGAATTCTAAAGATCCGGGTTTTAAACCCTTTGCATCAGCATAAGGTGACAAATAAGATCTACCCTGAAACAGTTTTATCTTTTCTCCATAATAACTATGCACCCTTTTAAAATTTGAAGGAAATTTCAAAGGAAATGGTAAAGAAAGCAAACCCGGAGTATGCGAAGTTTCAGTTTCGGTTATCCCTTCCACCATCTTCATGTTCTTCTTCTCAATCTCTGTGATAGCCCATTCAGAGTTCCAAGAAACAAGCTCCAAAAACTCAACATCATCAAGAGAAGGCTTCACCACACGAAAAAGCTGAGGATACTGATTCACCCAACCAGTTCTAAAATCCATTGGCAACCCAAAATCTCTTCTAAAATGCGCAATTTTCTCCAACGGAAGACGTTTATCAACCGACATCATAAGAAACCTAGTAACATATTCCGAAGCTTTATCCTCATTTTCCTCGACGACCCTTTTGTGTTCTTCCATCAAGTCTTCAGCTTTATGCGTCAAACCGCACCACAACACACCATTACGATCCTTATAGAGTTCAAAAAGTTTCGGGGTTTTGCGGAGAAAATCGGAGATTCTGTGAGGTTTGGGGAGGTTGATTTGTTTTCTGTAATGAGAAAGGGATCGAACGGGAATAACCATTTCTGGTTCTTGTTTGAGAAGTTCCATTAAGAAGATGATTTTGGATGTTATCTTCCATTTTTCGGTTACTACTTCGAGTTCGTGAACCCTTTTCTTCTTGCTTCGGTCTTGAACTCGTTTGCTGGTTGTCATCCATCGTTCCCAATGCGAGTAACAGAAACTTTTTCGCCATGAATCGATCCCTGATAAACCAAAACGCATTGATTTCACGAAGGTTTTGGGTTTAAGAATTTGTGTTGTTGTATCAAAGTGACGGTGTTAAACAGTGTTTTCACATCGCAAGACGAAAACTGGTTCTGAATTGGGCCGGGCTGTAAAGTGAGCCCAGTAATAATCTCGTTGTGTTGGTTCGGACTTTATAACAGGAATTTATCTGATATGACACCTCAGAGTTGCACTTATCACTCTCATACTTCATACGAAAAGATCATATTGTCATTTAATTAAATGTATAAACTTTTTACCATATTGTATATGGGTGGTATAAAAAAAATTTGTTTTTGGAAAATTCAATGTATAATGTGAGGAATAGATCGTTTTTTTTAGAAAAATCAAGTAGAAATACATGGTTTTCTATCAAATTATTTTTAATATCCGCCTTAAATGCAAGGCAGATCCTAGAAATTTTGAAAAACATGATATAGTGTTTCGCTTTCAACCGGTCATTATAAAATAATTGATATAAGGAGGGTGACATCTAATTTTTATAAAATTGAATAGGATTTGTATAAATTATTAGTGAGACCTAACGTAACAACAAACACAACAACTAAACTTTATTCTTTTACATGTATTAAATTCCGCCATAAATATTTATTTAAAATTATATTCATATAGTCAATTCATTAATATTAAAATAGTTTTTAATAATTTATCTTATAATTTTTTTAAGTATTCATTTATCTTAGTTGGGTGACTCGTCTCTATCTATTTTGCTTTCGTTATAATAAAATTTACAAATTTTTTATCTATATGGCAAAATCACTTAAGTCTATATGTGTTACCCTAATATAAATCACTTAAGTCTATATGTGTTACCTAACATATAGACTATTGTCATTTCTAAACTTATCTCGTTTAGTTTTAAAACATTTCCAAAATAACATGATCATCTATGTTACAATTACTTTATTTTTGTATTGATTTTTAACCGCTCAATATTTTGTCTCATACAACATCGCATGTGTTACCAGCGTCTCATAAAAAAATTTCTTAGACTTGAGTAATACTTTTGTCACGTAAAATCTTATAAGTCATCCTCCATTCAGGCATCCAACTTGAATTTGCTGGTTTATATCCCCTTTTATTTCTCCATCCTTTTCTACTACGACCCAAGATATTTAAATACTTATGGGATGATATCTACAACTTTCACATATAAGATAAATATTTTTCTTTGTTGTGAAACGATGTCGTCAATAACAGAACAAAGTTATGAGATAAATATTGAGTTTGAACAAGTACAAGAAACTCTGTGAGGTTTACGAAAGAGAAAGAAGAAGAATAAGAATTAGTTTAAAATATTTTACTATTCACTTTCTCAATAAGGGTTCAAAGATTATAAGTGAATAACAACAATTAACTTGTCTCAACAACCTAAGAGAACTAGTCTATTTATAGACTACTAAGCTAACTTAGGCTACAAGCTAACTTAACAATTGGACTCACAAGCAATGTCCAATTTGACATGCTAACTTAAACATAAAACTATTTAAAAATTGAGATATTATTTATATTTTAAAATTTTGACAAATTACACAAGTAAAATTGGAGCAATAATAGATAAAGATTCAAGACAGGAAACCAAATTTTAAAAAAATTAATAAAAATAGTCATTCTTATTTGATATAAAAATTAGAACGCACTTTTTTTTCTTTTGTAAGAGATAATGATTCATTTTTCTTCTAGAATGGAGAAACTTATAATTATAGATTAGTTACTATAATTGACCTATCACCCTTAAGGATGATAGTTACTGTCGCTACTGCGAAAAAGGGGCGGCAATGACAGAAGAGTCGCCACCGTTCGTTATTTATCCCAAAGAGAGAGAAAGGAAACGATCAGAGAAAACCTACGAAAAAGGGAATAAGATCGATCATCGCAACCAAATCTCGGGTTCGGGAGTCGGTTACGCAAGGGGAAGGTATTAGCACCCCTCACGTTAGTCGTACTCGACGGAATCCACGCTTGTTGTCTAATCTAAAAGGGTGTAAACTATCTAAGCTACGGGCTTAAGGGGACGAAAGAAAAGAAAAAGAGACTCGAGAGAGCATCGCTGCTTTATGCCTACGTATTCCCTTGTGCAATGGGAAAGTCAAAGTCAACGTAGTTCGGAAAACTACGGGTGAAGGGGGAAAGGTTGCTCGCCAAGACATCGCGTCTTGTGCCTACATATCCTCGTCTGATACGAGAAATCAAAGCAAACGTAGTTCGGGCTGACACGAACACTGGTTGGTTCAAGTGTTTTAAACCGAGTAGGGTTAAACCTTAGTTCTAGCAGTTAGGTGTATGCAGCTCGAGCATTGGAGACTTAGGCATTACCTGTTTGCGGTAGAACTAAGAGTTAACGAAACTCTTTCTTTGTGAAAATGATTTTCTGTTAATCCCGAAGGATAAAAAGGTTTGATGTTTTGTTTTTGTGTTTTTTATACAAGAAGTGGATTGAGTTATGATTTGGAACTCGTGTCGCACTAAAGACTATGACTCAAGAGCGAATGCGTCGCATATCGGCCAAAGGACATACGCTAAACATTCTAGACAGTTGAGAGGAGACCCCCCAACCATCATTTCTTGAATACTTAAGGCTCGTAGCGTACGACACAAATTGCTTTTTATTAAGTGTTTTGGATTGTTGAGGAGATGAGAAGAGAACGACTCAAACTAAGGGGAAACTGGACCCTAAAGTTATCATGCACAATGCTCCTAAAGTTGGGATGAAAGGGGAAAACTAACATAATGTTATCATGCATAGGATTGAACACCTAATGTCTCTCCTACTCCCATCCTAGACGGAGGGACTAGGAATCCTAGGGGGATCATGGCACAAGGCCAAGTAAACACTAAATATATCACTTACAAAAGAAATGAGAAAGAAAATAAATTAAAATAAAAATGGAAAATAAGATAAAAAGATGGAAAATAAAATAACACATTAAAATAATAAAAAGATGATTTTTTTGAGTTTTTTATATTTTAAAACTAATTCAAAATAAACAAAACAAAAGAAGAAGGAAATAAAATAAAAGAAACTAAACAAAACAAATGATAAAAAAAAAGGGGCTCTAACAATGGGTAGAACCCGTAACCCCAAGGCTGCAGGCCTAAGACCTTAGCCAGCTCTACCACTCATGCGCATTTGATAATAATGGAAAGAGAAAAGAGAAAAGATAAAACTTGAAAAGAACATGAAAATAAACAAAAACCGTCCCTGTTGGGGATCGAACAGGTGACAAGGCAGCGAAACGGCAAGGCATTTAACCACTGGGGTGGTGATACATCCGTGTATTGATGTCACCCCATTAATACAAAAGTCATCCACACGCGTGAATTCTAAGCACAAGTAAGGCAAGCTTAAAGGAAAACAAATCAAATGCATTTTCAATCCAAACTCTATCAAAACTCCATCAATTTTCACAAAATAAAAGTCTAAATCATTTGAATTTTCAAGAGGAACATGATGGTGTTGTCCAATTTTCCAGATAACGTCCACAACTCAAAACACGAATGGAAACGCAAGTGAGGCTTTTGAGATACACTTTGAAGTTCAACAGATTGAAACAGGTGCAATTTAAAGGTGGAAAATGATTTGAGCAAGTTTCAAATATGGTATTGGGGAAATTTCTAACAGAAGCAAACATTCAAAATACAATGGATCAAAAACAAGCATGTGAGTTGCAAGGGATGAACATGATGTGAGCACAATTAATTTAGCATGAAGACCAAGTTTGAACAACAAATGGACATTATCTTAACATGGCAAACACAACTCAAAGACAGCAGAGGTTGCTAACTCAAGGTAAAGAGTTGACAGCAACATCACCAATCCTAACACTATTGGCTATACAGCCACCCCAAAGTAAAGGTAAAAAGCACACAACTACTCAGACCAAATCAAAAGAGTCAAACCTGCAGTAGGCTCTTAGAGGTATTAAAACAAACTGATAAGGATCCAAACCAAACAACCTACGAGCAAAGTGAACAGCAGGCATAACAAAAGTGCAGTAGGCCCATAATTGAAAATGAGTCTATTCTAATAAATCCAACAGTGACAGCCCTCAACCATCAAAATCCAAGTTACATACTAAAATGGCAGCCACCAATCCAAAAGTAAACACAAGCTTTGACGAAATGTAGGATCACATCCTAGTGATATCAAAGAATCTAAACAGCCAGTAGTGAATTAGCAGATTCAACCCTCCAAAACAGATCCTGATAACCAAAGGTGATCTCAACATGACAAAGCCTATATCCCTTAGTTGTGCTTGCACACTCCAACTAGATCAAAGTGGCATGTAGTAAACCTGGCTCTAGCTGCAGTTCATCTGACAGTCACATTCCCCACACTAAACCACACACATACTAAATACATGGTCTTCCCTCAACCAAAATCAGAACAATCCACAATGAAACAAAAAGTTCATGGACCAGAAGTTAACAATATTCAAAAAAAGACAGCCAAAAAAGCTGAACCTAAACCCAACCAAATCCTATCAGGTCCAGACCTGGTCCTACTTTTCAACAAGGTATACTAATAAAGAGTCCACTGAATTTACCGTCCTTAACCAACCTGCTAATGATGAGCCTAACAGCCTTGATGTAAACCAAAGTATTAACTCAAACAGGAAGTTGACTGCACCAAACAGCTCCAAGACCCTCATGACAGTCATCAACTCAAATGTCCACTTAAACCTCTCAAACAAAAATGGACAGTCCCAACATAATTCCAACAACACCAATATTCTTGAACTTGAATTTCAACAAGGTACACACCCAAACAATCAAGGTTCTTAAGACTCAAATGAGAGGTTAACAAACTCTGAACAACAAGTAGTGTTAATAATATTTGGCTTTGAAAATCAACAAGGCAATGTTCAAGATGCAAACCTATACATTAGTTGATCTACCACAAATGACAATCTAAACTGTCCTGAATTCTAACAGACTTAAGGTAACAACTTTTACTTATCCCAAGACAGCACTGT